TAAATGAGTTTCATATTAATAGTTTTTATATAGGGGCAATTCTATATATTACTTAAGATAACAAATGGGATATTATAAAACTATTAATTATATAATCATATTACAAATGACTAAATACTAAATTTGATCCTTGAAATCCCTGGTAATACCAATGTTCACTTTGTCTGGTTTTGTTGCAGTATGTAGTATGTCCCAAATATGAATTTTTAAATTTTAATTCCATGCATGATCTTCTAAATATTGTTGATTTGCAAGCTGTACGTGCATCTAAAGGTCATTGAGGAACTAAGGTTTTTTTTTATGCATCCACAACATCTACACAGTTTATTAATGCATTCCTCAATGTAGATGACTACATTGCACCAAGTATACTTCGTGGGATTTATGGAGCAAATGTTGGCGGAAATATGAACAGGTCAACATTTACCTTGCAGATTTTTCTAAAACCACAATTTTTTGTGTATTAAATTCAACATGGTGGCTTTCACATAACCATTTTGCAAGTTTCGATGACAAGATTTCTTGTGGATCTGGAGTATGCATTGATGAAGCATATATTTTTTATGCTTATTTGCTTCGCCATGAATAGAATCCCTTTCACTTTAGATCAAGAGAAATGATGCCAGCACTCTTACTCTCCTCAACCACTGAAAATTAAAGGCTTTGGTCATCAGCTTTAGTTTAAGTAGAAATACCAAGATGATTCATGTGAAACAATAGTCATCAGGAAATTAATTTAGCATAAACTTGCATAAATCTTACAATGCCAACATAATATTGTGTAAATCTTACAGTGCCAACGTAAGTTTTACACTTTTTTATTATTAAACTTACAATTGACATGTGTAAAAATTTTTTATATTTTCCAGATGACCATCAAAATTACAGAAACAACTAGCCATTGATGATTCTTTCACATTTTCACATTATTATGAAACTAGAGTGAAAAATAATCTTCTTTCAATTCCTGAACATTCTTTATGGTTTCGGCAAAAAATTCTTAGTACAGAGGAAAAAGATACTGCACATGATGGGTTTGATTTTTCAGATGTTCCAAGTTATGCAGATGCAAAACTTATTCAAGAACAAGAAAGTTTAAGCAAATTAGAAACAGTCTATCAATGTTATCTTATGAAGAAGCTGGATATTTTTGTTTCCAAATACCCAAGCATGCAACTGAAACATGTAGATACTCACCAGAAACCTATTCTTAAGGGACAAAAACCAGATATTACCTTCTATTTGCAAGATCGAGCCATCTCAGATATCAATATTGTTTCTGTTTTAGAGATCAAAGTCACTGAAAAAGAGGATGAATGGGTGAAAACCACATCCCTTGCAGAGTTATGTCAATTTCTAGAAAACTTTTACAATTAAACCTAGATCACAAGGAGGCAACAGGGATTTTGACAACTTGTCATCATATTCAATTCATTAAAGCTGTATTTACTGAAAATAATGATACCTATTTCTATATAACTGGTATCTTTCCACTTAGAAAAGTTGGATCCCATTATCTTGCACACCTTTGTTTATCAACATCAGAACTTCTTGGATTTTCACTTCCAACAATTAAATACCAAGAAAAAATATTTGAGGCAACAGAGATACTTGGAACTGGTGCAACAAGTACTGCTTACTTACTTGGAAATGATTATGTCATAAAAGTTTATAAGCCTATTTATGCTGATATTTTCAATTTTGAAAGGGATGTATTGAAAAGTTTGGAAGCAGGTGGTGTGATTAATATTCCTTGTTATGTTAGATGTGGAAAAACATCAAAGACAAGTGCCAACTTTATCTTAATGAGTGGAGTTGGGTCATCTCTTAATGACACAGATATTGATATACGACAGATATTTATACAATTACTTGATGTTATTAAACAATCACATGATCTTGAGATTGTTCATCAAGATATTCATATACACAATATTCTAATAAAAGACAAAAATGTATTACTTATTGATTGGGGATTTGTAGCAAAGTTAGGAAAAGAAACAGCATATCATGGAACTATCACAACAGTTTCAAATCACAATTTAGAAAAGTTAGAAAGTGGAAATATAATGTTCCAATCAAAGAAAAGTGATGACCTACATTCTGTTGTCAGATGTTATTACCTTATTCAAAATCAACAAATACAGAAGGAATTACATGACCTTGATATTTCAAAGTTTGAATCAATTAAGAAGTTCTGGAATACAGAATTGAGTGCACCATACTGGATTGAATGTAATAATGCAGCAGAAAGTGAAGATTATAAAAAGCTAAAGGCATAATTTGAATATATATTGTGAGATCAAAATCCACATCTCACACAAATCTATTGATTTGGTTAAATTAATATTTATTTCATTTTATAGCAGTATCCAATGATGTAACTCTTTGATTACTTTCTTTCTCCTATAGCACTCAAGCTATTTAATTATTTACATGGCAAGTTTCCTTACTTCCCTTCTGGTAACATATTCTCAGCAGTCCTTTGTTATCTGCCTGAGCCAGCACATCTCAATGATATTTATAATATCCAAAGTATCCGCCATGATACTTTCTACACTGATTATTATATTTATGGCTCAGTCTCTTAACTGACCATACCTAGCTAGGATTTCCACTATTTAGGCATTGGCCTAATTTAAACAAAAATAAAGAAAATAATTAAATGAAAATACACACACAAATATACTTATCAAAGGCGTCCCCCTGGTAAGACAGTAATTAATTAATAATTGAGTTAGAGCAAAAGATTTATGTGGTTTTGGAAGCGGGTGGATTATTCCACTGCAAGAGATTATTTTTAAGAGATATTTATGTTTGTATTTTATTATTAAGATATTATTGTTATTACAATATAATAGTTAAGGATGAATTAACTAACTGATTATTACATGAAAGAGAAATTTACAATGTATTTATACATGTTAAAGGTTCTATCATCTAGTTCTCCAACTTTGTTGAAACCTTAATAGATATATTCCTTAAACATTATTTAAACCTTCTGTCTAGAATTATTTTCAAGTAATTTCTAGTCAGTGTGAGTCATGTAAAATTCTTTCATTTAAATATTATTCTGAAATTTGGTAATTTGTTACACTTTAGAATGTTGGAATATTTATATCTAGTGATGTTAGCCATTTAAAAATCCTTAGCCGGCTAAGCCGTTTACTACCAAAATTGGTAACTTTATTTCCATAACAAGAAGGTAGCGCGGAAATCTATTACCAAATTTAGAAGTTAAGTATGCAGATTATTAGCCGGCTATATAACATCACTATTTATATCTCCAATGTTTGGGTTATTTTCCGAGAGCTATTTATTTGATTGGTGCGCCTTATTAATTAGTGCACATTTATTAAATTATACTGGTTTATTTCTTGTTGAGTTATTCCGTGATAATCGCTTCCAAATTTCACTTCGTAACACATTTAAATCATTTCCGATTTATATATTCGTTTCCCGTGATCTATAATTTACTATTTTACAATATGACAAGAATAAAAATCACTTGTAATGAATATATTTATCATGCAACAGCAATTTAAAATAAAAAAGAATGAACACAATTAATTTTTAGATTTAATAGCTTCAATAATTATAAAAATAACAATTTTTAATCCTGTAATCATCAGTTATCGAATTATTTCATTTTCTAATTAGTTAAAAAAAGGAATCATGAACAATAAGTTATCATCTATAATAATAAGTAAAAGCAATAATTAAACTCAGTTGTCAAAAATATCCATTAATTTGTATGAATATTCTGTTGTTTTAAAACATAATGAATGAATAATAAATGATAAGTTATATTAAATTGCATGCTGTTAATGGAATTCCATTTTTAAGTATTATAATGAGTTTTATTCAGTAAAAGTGAACATAAAATTATAAAATTATATATATATAGGGATAAGTATATATGAAAAGTATTAACAAAGGTAATAAATAAAATGGTTCTAATGAATATCAAAAGGCAATTTGTTTTTTAGAAAAAGGATGCAGTTATGGTTGTTCTTCAAGAATTCCCAAGAAAGAATTTGCAGAATCAAGAGAATCATTTCAAGCTCTTTCCAAGTCTCAACAAGACATATTTTTAATGGCCCAATTTAAAGCAATGGATGGTGGATTAACAAGCACCAGCAGATGCCTTAAAAAGAAAACCAGATCTAATAAAAAAACTTTCTATCACTGGGATCACAATATACCTCTTTGTTCAAGAAACTTATCTCAGTATGTTGGGAATTGGTAGAACTTATTTTGAGAATATTAGAAATCATCTAATAAATAATGGTCTTCTTCCAAGAATTCATGGTAATATTAAAAGAATGCCTCAATGGAAAACTAAAATGGTAATTGATGAAAATGTTGCAGAAGTAATAAAGAATTTTCTAGAAAATTATGCTGAAGTCCATGGATTACCAAGCCCAGGAAGAAATAACAATAGAATAACCCAATCAATTATATTTTTACCAGCTGAATTGAGTTATAAATCAGTGCACAGAGATTTTCTGGCTGGCTTGGAGGAAGATAGTAGTTTGAAATCTTTAAAACATGATGCATTCAGGAAGCTATGACATCAATTGACACCAGAAATTCAAATTATGAGTCCAAGGACTGATTTGTGTGATACTTGTCAACATTTTCAAAATGGTTTACATTACGATGCTCGCCAGGAGGAAGAAGCTAAAGACCTACTCAAAAGGTTCAAAGAACATTTGTTCAAGGCAAGATTAGAAAGAAATTATTAGCAGAAAAACAAAGAAAATTAGTTAATCAAAATTATTCAAAGGGTAAAACACAATATTGCAGTATTGATGCTACTGCACATTATAGTTATGATTGAGCCCAAAATGTTCATGTGCCACATTTAGATCAACAGGTAAGTAAAATTTATTATCTTAGTCCATGTAAAGTTCATTTATTTGGTATTCAAGATGAAGCAGTAAGGGAGCAACTTAATTATGTTCTTAATGAAGATGAAATTATAGGAAAAGGACCTAATGGAACTCTTAGTATGATTTTTGATGGAATTAAGAAATTGAACAAAGGTGAAAAGCATTTAAAGATTACTTGTAATAATGCTGGTGGACAAAATAAAAATAATGTAACAATTTGGTTTTATTTGTATTTAGTAATTTGTGGTTATTATGAAAGTATTGAATTAAATTTCATGATTCCTGGACATACCAAATTCAAATGTGATGGTAGTTTTGGACTGATTAAAAAACTTTACAGCAAAACAAGAGTAGATTGTCTAGATCATGTGGTTGAGGTGATAAAAAAGTCTAGTCCAGCAGGATTGAATAAAGCTCAATGTTATGAAGGTGGAAAAGGTTTTCAATACTTAGATATTAAAGCTATTTTGGGAATTTATTTTAAGAAATTACCAAACATCTAGAAATATCAACATTTTCTTTTTTGAAGAATCTAATCTTGGTACAGTAAAAGTTCAAGAAGTTGCTAATGGACCTTTTACTAAATTTAACTTGTTGAAAACCAAGAAAGCAGATACTTTTGAAGAAATTGAAGCTTTATCAATTTTAGTATTAACACCACCTCCTTTGGATTACAAAAGGCAAGAATATCTTTACCAAAATATTTGTCCATTTGTGAAAGATGAATACAAAGATATTACTTGTCCAAGACCATTTTATACTGGCAACAAATAAAATATTCAGAATAAAATCACTTCCATACTTTGTCACTCATTAATTTGTCTCTTGCTGTCATTAGGTTTAATAAGTTTAATCTTTTGACAAATATTGTTGGCTTTTTCCACCTTTAAAGTAAAAAGTACTAAAATAATTTATATACTTAATATATCATCATAAAAAGGATATAAGTATATTAAAAGAGCAATAAAAAAAAATAAAAATAAATATGGTAAACACAATAAATGAACTCCAAAAGAGAAATAAACAATTATTAGAAGAAATAGAACAATTAAAAGCACCTTGCAATTTAAACAGTTGAATAATGAAGAAATTAGAGCATGAATAATTACTGTTTTAAGTGAAAGTCATTACACTGACAATCCTGATGTAGATATAGTTGGTGAGATTATGAGAGTTTATTGTGACCAAGAAAAGTGGTCTCAGTTTTGTAAGTTATATCCTACTCAACCAGCTTGTAGGAATTTAATTCTTAACACCTACCAATATTATCCTTATTATAAGCAATCAAGTGTTCATTGACAGGTAAGGAATAAGGCTAAAAGAGATATCTTTATTAACCTTATCAAATTAAATTCTGAAGAAAGTAAAGAACTATTTCAAAAGTGGTTGAAAGAAGGCAAAATAGAAGATAATTCAACTCTAAAAGGAATATTGGAAAAAGGACATGAAGGATGAGATTCAATCAAACTAAGTTGTTATAATTATTATGACCTTAGAAATCTTTCTCTTGATGAGTTAGTCAATAGTTTGAATGAATTAACTTTTAAAACTAAGGAAAATTTTGATAAAGTGGCTAAACAAAATCAAGAATATGAAGAAAAGATTAAAGAGTTAGGGGCTGAGTTAGAAAAACAAGATGAAAGAATAGAGGTATTAGAAGAAAGGATAGAAATAGAACAGGAACAAGTTACGGAAGTCATAGCAATTGGTGAAAAATGAAGCAAAAATCAAGCAGAAGACATAAAGAGAAAAACAAGAAACTTGAAAGTTCTAGTGCAAAGATTTCTCATCTAGAAGCCCAAGTTGAAAAGTTAAAGGAAGAATCAAGTCAAAAGAGCAAAAAAATTAGAAAAACTAAGTAAGCAATTAACTGATAGTGAAACACAAAATGAAAATCTAAGGAATTCACTCTACTTAGATAATAAACCATTACCTGCCTTACCTAAACAGAGTATATTTAATCAATTAAAAACAGAAGCAAAAGTTAAGTTCCATAAATTACAAAGGCTAATCAAAAAGGAAAGGCTTCACAACCAAGAAATGATTGCTCAAGTAGAAGTTAAGTCTAAATAACAAGTAAGTTACAATGAGAGAACTGGAATACACAGTTTTAGAATTAGAAAAAGAAAGTAAAAAACTTGTGATTTCTGCTCTAAACTTGAGAATAGAAATAACAAATCTGTTCATCAAATAAGAGTACATAGTAAAGTAACTGGGGAATGAATTTCAGATGATGTGTTTTGTGAAAAATGTGAAGAAAAATATTGGAATGATGAATTGTCAAAATGCAATAGATGTGGTAGATTGCAAACTAAGTTAGATTTTGATATTGTTAATGGTAAGAATGTTTGCTACTGTATTAGAAACAATGAAGATTTAGAAGAGAAGGAACTTCCTCTCTTACCTCATGAAGAAATAAGTCAGTCTACTTTTTATGAAAGACAAATAAACTCCCTACAAGAACAACTAAATGATACTGAAGAAGCCTTAGAAATTGAAAGGGAAGAAATAGCCAAATTTCAAGAGAAATCCAAGGAATAAAGTAAAAGGCAAAAGCAAGAGTTGTTGGATAAGATAAAGAGTTTAGAAGAAAACAGTAAATCAAAAGATCAACAGAATGGTCAATTAACTGCTCAAATTTAAGTCGAAGAGACTAAAAGATGATTGAAAATAAAAAAGTAATTGAGGAAATTTCCCTCTGTCAAATTGAAATTCATTCCAACTATCAAATGGTAGCTATTTTCCTTTAAAGATTTTTGCTTTTTGTTGGGTAATAATACACTTTCACTCTGCTTTCTTTTTCTAACATTTATTATTTTTCTTTCTTCTTGATAAATTTCATAGGTAATCCTTTTTTTTTTTAGATAAGCTTCCAGTGTCTGAATATCATTTATTTTGAAAATGTAAGGAGCAATTTTTTCACCTCACCCTTTCTTCAAAATACTTCCGATAGTGCTATAATTCTTGGGTTCCATAGTAGATCTGATGTAAATTAACTTCATATTAACTATTTTATATAGAGGTAATTCTATATATCACCTAATACTAATATTAAGAGGAAGATTTTAATAATCGCATTACTAAATTTTGACCCTGAAATATTTGGTAATACCAATGTTCACTTTGTCTGGTTTTGTTGCAGCATGCCCCAATTGATCTCTTTAACTTATTAGTTCATAGAAATACAAATCGATTTCTTTAACAATAAAAAATGTTGCTTTGTTGGTTCATAAGGATAAAAATGTTGAAAATAATTAGTCTGTTTTTTATTTGCATTAATTAGATTGATCAAAAATTTTTAGGTTGACAACAAAATATTGTTCTTATTAATTTGTAAAGGTTATGTTTGTTTTCAAAGATGATATTTCTTTTCTTTTTGATTGCCAATTCTTTTTCTTGTGTTCATTAGAGAAAGAAAAAAATCCAATTTACATCTTCCAATCAATTACATTTATAAATCTAATTCCCTTTTAAAAGCTCATGCTGCATTAGTCAATATTGAAATTATCTTGACAATAATAAACTCACATTGTCAAATACAGACAACATCCCTCCTAATCAAAGGAACATTCGCACACACCTTCCTCAAAATAAGGTTGCTTGTCAAAACCTCTTAATGACTGCTGAAACTCTATAATTGATGATAGCAAACCAGTAAAGATTATAGTGACAAATTCAGAGAAGATAATAATGACAGATTAAATGAAGATAATGGAGGACCGGGAAAACTCTATTGAATGTCACCACTAAATTAAGCGCCTGATCATATTAATGTGAATCTTGAAAGTTGATTGGTTGGTTTTTTCTGTTTAGGAAATAATTTATGATAATTAACCAAAAATGGGCTAGTCAGTAACCCATATGGCGTGATCTTTTTCCTTATTTGGATTTAAATGTACTTTCAAATCATATTGTTGGTGGTGACATTTAATAGAGTTTCTCCGGTGATAATAATGACCAACCTATCAAAAAAAAACAAATTGATGATGCAATTATCTATGAAGAATGTAAAAATTTTACATTTGAATTGGAAACTAGAGAGGTTTGGAGAATCTGATAATGGAGAAAGATGGAAAGTACTTATGGAGAAGCTCTGATGTTTCTAATGTGTGGATGATTATTTAAAAATCAAGCACAGTTTCCACCTCAAACCTCAAATGAAATAGATATATTGTAGTAGCATAAAGCAAAAAAAGGCAAAACTTCATTTAATTTTTAATTGTCAATCTGTGAATGAATCAGAAAGACCCTCAAATCTGTGTTTCCTACATAGAAAAGTCTTTATTAATCACATAACTATGTTAATTTTTAGATAAAATTTATTTTTTGAGATTAATTTTATTCATACATAAATAATATTATCATGTGGCACAAAAAGAATAATACATTTTTGTGTAAAGGTTGACAATTGGCAATTTTTTGTGACATTTTGCACCAAAATTTACTATTAAATATGCAGATCTTTCTCTGATTCATTCATGTATCACCAATTAAAAAAAAATCATGATAAAAATTGTCACCATTTAGCTGGTGAATTTTGTGGACAATTAAAGACTAGTACCGTAATCCAAAAAAGGAAAAAGTATGGTTGCAAAAGTGGTCGCAAAGGTAATTGCAACCACTTTTTATATGCCGTAAATACAATTACTACCATCATCACAATTTACAGCACTAGTCTTTATGGACAATGCAGAGGAATTGCCAGAAAAGAATTGGTATAAATTACTGGACAACCAAGGGACATTAGTATTAGAAAAAGAGCATTAGAAAACCTTAGATCTGATACAGGATTTACCGGAAACAGGCATAAGATGTCATCAACAAATTCTTCTAGAACTATAAAGTCTGTTGCCAGTATGTCAAAAGATATTGGAAAATTATATTAAAGACCAATTAAAATGAATGTAATAATTATTTGAAGTTGAATGGAACTAGTCACTAAACAAGAGAAAACTGATGGGATACATTCAAGAGCCCATACAGACTCAGCCATTATCAATTGTATTTTATATTGAGGCCTTTCTTCACTATTATCATCAATTTGCTTCCAGATATTTATTGATTACACAAGGCAATTAATTAAAATGGTCTTATGCAAAACAAAACTGTATGATGAAAGTAATCTTAAACATGTTCATCATAATAACATCTGAGATGAATTCTAATGCTCTGACAATAAATGTTCTAGAGTTAGCAACTAACAACCTACCTGCCAGAGATTTACAAAGATTTATCACTAAATTTAGAGATGATAAAAGCTGTATAATTCAAAAACAACTTCACATTTAATCATTGTGATTGTAATTAAAAACAATCATTAGACCTGACTAAAGTGATTATTGCTTGGTGTTATTCTCATTTGCATCAATGCAATAAAGAATTATATCAGGTCTAAAAAATTAATTTTGGAAGGGACAACACTGATTGTGAAATACTTTTTTTTACTTTTGACTGTAAAATTACCTTCTCAAGTTTAGGATGAGAAGCTGGAACAAGTTAGAAATAGTTATGCACTTGATGATGCAAAAAAATAAAAATCTATACGGGGTTCTCTAGCAAAAGGTAACTTAAGTGCTCTCTGGCTAAGGTTGTGGGCAAAACTCCTCCAGAAATCAATTGACAGAGTTTTGACAGGTTACACATTAATTGTTTATTAGAGTTTCAACAGAGTTTTGCATTTGGGGGTTTTGTCAATTGTCAGAGTATATACTAATTGTTCATTAGAGTTTCAACAGAGTTTTGACAGTCACTAAAAGGTTTCGGAAAGCAACCCTAATTCTGGCCAAAATTGAGTTTTTTGCATATATTTATATTACAAGGATTATAACTGGTGAAAATCAGTCCCCGTTTATTTAAAATGCAACACGAATATCTTATACTAAAATGTAAATGTGATGATTGCAAACGTCGATCAAAATAAAAATTCTACTATTACTATACTGGTTTGATGCAATCGTATGTCCCAATTTGATTTACCGGAGACCATTTTATTTACAAATTTTATTTATTTTAATACTTTCTAATATTAAAAACATGAATTCAAATTTGGACAAAAGTTTATTTCAACTTAAAGTAAGAATCACAAATAACATTACAAATAATTTTGCATATAAAGTTGTTTGTTTAATATGTATACTTTACTGCTATTATTTTGATTTAGTTTACTGCGAAACAATTATCAAGACAAGCTAAAAAGGCAAGTAAAGATGAAACCGCAGAGAAGACAAAACTTAAAAAGGTATATTTTTTATAATATTTTGCTTACAAAAAACTTTATGACAAATATAAATAATTATTAAAAACAATTAAATTTAGGCCATTGAACAAGGAAATATCGAAGGAGCAAGAATATATGCAGCTAATGCTATTCGTAAAAAAAATGAATCATTAAATTTGTTAAGATTATCCTCAAGAATTGATGCAGTTTCAAGCAGAGTTCAGACTGCTGTTACTATGCAAAAAGTAAGCGGAAAACTATGACAAATAATTAGGTTCAATTGTTATTCTATATTACAACTATTACTTATGATTTCCATCTTTAATTTGCAGGTAACAGGATCAATGGCAGGTGTTGTTAAAGGAATGGACAAAGCAATGGAATCTATGAATCTAGAAAAGGTATTTATTATTATTATTATTATTATTGGCAATTAATTGACTTATTTATTATTATTTTAGTTATTTAGTTAGTAGTTAATTTAAAAAACAAGTTTTCAACTAATTGATGGAAAAAACAACATATTTAATAATAATAAATATAAAATATAGATATCAATGGTAATGGATAAATTTGAGTCACAATTTGAGGATTTAGATGTTCAAACACAATATATGGAGAGTGCGATAGGAAATTCAACTGCAATGACTACACCACAAGATGAAGTTGATTTATTAATGCAAAAAGTAGCAGATGAGCATGGTTTAGAATTGAATCAAAGATTGGGTGAAGCCGTACCAAGTAATATTATTGGTGAGGAAACTACTAAAGAAGATGAAGAGTTAACTCAACGTTTACGTATGTAATAGTAGTGATTTTGTTTTTTTTTATTTGTTTGTTTAATTTTGGATATTTTATAAAAATAATTTTTGTTTATTATTAGGCATGTTGAGACAAGTTTAATATGGTATGATATTTTATTTTTATATTACATGTTATATGATATTCAATATCATTTACACTATTTTGAATTTATAAATATAAATATATAAACTGGATTTATCATCAATAGAATTACTTTAGAAATTTATTATTATTATTATCATTCATCAATAATATAATTATCTGCCTATAAAATTTGCAATTGCAATTTCAAATTTTTTTCTTTGTAAATTTCATCTAAATATTAAAAACAGAGTTTGATTTGTTTGCTGTGAGCACGTGACTATTTTACATAAACTGTAAAAAAAAATTTTAAATTATTTTTTATTTTCTTTCTTGTAAAAAACCAAATATGATCGATAGTTTATTCCTTTTAAATACTTCTGGGTAAATAAATTTTATGAATGATTTTCTTGCAAACATTATGGGTTTTTTTAAATTTATTAATTAATTACAGTAAAATTTTAATTGAAAAACATTGGCGAGGAGTAATTAACCGTCAATTAGTAGACTATTTTAATGATTATGCAATGAAACAAACTTCCTCTGAAGATTTGTTACCAATAATTTCAACTCCAAAGTATCAATTGGTGCATATTTATCGATCTAGTTTGACATTCCTTAGTCCTGTTTCAAATGAAGGTGTTTTGAATGAATGTTTTTTTTTTGTAAAGGATTTTGCTTAAACAAGTTTTCTTTACATATATTTCTTTTGTTAGTTGATGCATTGCTAGTTCTTGAATTTCTTCATCGAATTGCTGACATCTTTACTGAATATTTTGGTGATTTGTCAGAATTGTCAATCAAAGATAATTTTGATATTGTTTATCAGGTATCTTAAGATTATTGTCATTTTTAAATTAATAATTTTATTTTTGAATTAATAATTTTTTTATATAATTATATATAGCTTTTAGAAGAAATGATGGATTATGGTATTAATGAATATAAATATAATACTTATTGGATATTATTATAATAACATAGCTCTAATTGATCTAAAAAATTCAATATGGTAATTTTGAAAAGGGTATCCATTGACAACTGAACCTAATGCTTTAAGAGAGATGATTGCACCACCAAATATTATTAACAAAGTTATAAGTCAAGTAGCAGGTGTCACAAGGTATTCTAATATACTTATTATCAAAAATTATTATAAGATTATAAATAGAATATTATTATAACATCTTATATATTGGTATTAGCGTTGTTCAGCATGTTCCTAATGGTAGTACAATATCAAGCATACCTTGGAGAAAAGCAGGTGTAAAATACACTAATAATGAAATATATTTTGATATTATAGAAGAAATTGATGCAATTATAGATAGGTAATATACATTATTATTTACATACATGTCCATTTATTATTACAGTTGTTATAATAATATTATTAACATTTTTCTGAAACTTTTATTTAGTAATGGTGCAATAGTATCATCAGAAGTTCATGGTGTTATCCAATCAAATTGTCGTTTATCAGGTAAAAACAATAAAAAAATAATTCAATTAATTTAAGTTATAAAAATAAAAATAAAAATAAAAATATAAATGCATAGCAAAATATTAAAATCATGATGCATTCTAATATAAATTAAAGGTATGCCAGATCTTACACTCAGTTTTGTTAATCCAAAAGTTTTAGATGATTGTAGTTTTCATCCCTGCGTTAGATATAAAAAATTTGAAAGTGAAAGAATTCTCTCTTTTGTGCCACCTGATGAACATTTTAAATTGATGAGTTACAGGTAACAAACATTTGTATAATATAATATATAATTATTTGTTAATTAATATTTTAAAATATTTTTTGTGTATTCCTTATTTTTAGAGTTAATTTACCATATCATCAATCATTGCCAATCCATGTAAAGCCACAATTCCATCTCACTGATCATGGAGGTATGTAATCTTATAAACATGCACACATATATCATATTGTATTAAGATTCTGCAACATAAAATAACTTATACTTATCTCTACACACATATGTGTATGTACAAAATTGTTAGGTAAATTTGATATAACAATTAATGTAAGAAATACAGATGATAAATCTATCGAAAATGTATTATTAGTAATTCCATTAGCAAAATCTGTGACAAATGTCAATGCCACATGTAATCTTGGTTCTTATATATTTGATCCTGTAACAAAGGTATTAATAATTTTTACTTTAAATTCTATTTTTTTAAAAAAATCATATTCTAAAATATATTTCTTTAAAAAAGTGTATAAAATGGGATTTAGGTAAAATAATGCCTAAAGATAGAACTCCCATGTTATCTGGTAATTTTAGTAGCATGTAAGCAACTGTTAACTATTTTTTATTAATTTTTAATTTTTTAACTTTAATATTTTCCTGCTTTCCCTAATCAACTATCAAAATTATTAATAGTGAACAAATAGTAGAATCAGGTCATACAATTATACTTGATTTTCAGATAAGCATGTATGCAATTTCAGGATTAAAAGTAGACACTTTAAAAGTTTTTAATGAATCATATAAACCTTACAAGGTAAAATATAATATATTAGTGATTTTCTAAAAAAAATTTCCCAATTGACTGATTTTTATATAATATTTATATTTGTATTTAAGGGTGTAAGAAGTTTAACAAGGGCAGGAAAATATCAAATTAGAACATAAAAAAGATTTATTTAATTTTGTAAAATATATATAAAAAATATAATTTAATTGATTTAAATAAACTTTCTTATATTTCAAGCATTTTTCATAGTGAAGTTTATCAGAAACTCATGTTTTTTTCTCCATCCTTTTTCCTGATTGTTCTTTTTAATTGGTTTTCTCTTTGAGTTAATCTAGAATTGGTTAAAGAAAATAAATTGAATCTTTAAAGAAAATTTGATAAATTACATTAAACTCCCTCATAAATAGTCTTGCAGATTGTAATAGAGGAATCATATTATCAAAATCTCAAGGTCATTAATGAGCTTGAAAACAAAAGATTCTGAGGACATCATTGAGTTCTAATTCTATGGCAATGCATTGAATTGATGCAACTCCTGTTCAATACTTCCAGATAATTATATTCATGGCAAAAATGATCATGCACATAAAGATAATACATAGAAAGAGCAACTGATCTATGCTTTAGAGTATAGGACTTAAACTTAAAACTTCAAACAAGCCAAGCCAAGTCAGGCCAAGTTTATACTTATACTTAGCTCAAGTTCAACTTGACTTGAATATAAAAAAGTGCTGGCTCAAGCTCGAAGTTTAATATTATTTTTTATAAAATTATAATTTTGCAATTTATTTTGATTATTATAATTTGGATTTTTTAAAAATTTTTTTTTGTTTACATATTATGGAAGCATCATGTAAAACTCTAAAACTTTTAATCGGATGTTATTTAACATGCAATATGAAAATCATTGTAGATCATTGTCAATTAATTCAATTAATTAATTAAAAAAAATTTTTAAAAAAAAAAAATAAAAAATAAATATGGCTACTCGTATCTTGACTAAACGTTTCCTTAATTTCAACACAAATCGTTGTTTAACTAATAATAATAAATCATTAACTCGTCGTACTTTTGCTACAGCTACTGAAGAAGAATCTTTTGCTATTCGACAACAAAAAATTGAAGAGCATGCAAAAGGTAAATATGTATCGCTTGGTAAAAAGGAAAAAATATTCCCTCTCTGAAATATAAACATGATTACGATTTCAATTATTTAATTGTGCTATTATTTAATTGTGACTATTATTTAATTGCAACTATTATTTAATTGCAACTATTATTTAATTGCAAAAAAAAGATGCTGCAAACATGTGGAAAAAAATTTCAATATATGGTTGTGTACCAGCACTTGTTTTAACTACTATAAATGCTCTTAAAATTGAAAAAGAACATGAAGCTCATTTGCATGAACACCCTCCAGAACCAATAGAACATCCACCCTATGAGTATCAACGTATAAGACTTAAAGTAACTATTAACAATTTGCTAAATAATAAATTATTTTTTTCACATATATGTATTTTACTGCTTTACTAAATCATTCACCAACTAACCAATACATTCTTATTAATCAATCAATCAGCCTTATCCATGGGGTGATGGAGATCATACTCTCTTTCATAATCCAGCTAAAAATGGTCCATAAATAAATGATTAATATTTCAAGTTAATTTGCATTAGTTCTTAACATGTAAAAGAAGAATAATAAAGAATAATGATTATTTTATTGAATATGTAAAAAAAAAGAAAAATAATAATTATATAATTTTTGTTTCAAGTCATTGAAATTTTTTTCAAAAATTTGATATAAATATATCAATTATTATTTTCTAATTGAAAATAATTTCTAATATCCATTTTTCTTTTTCTTAAATTATTATTATTATTAAATTCAGTTTGTGATCTCATTGTAATGCTATTACTACAATCCTCTAAATGTTCAGCTAATTTATTATTAGGTATTGGTTTATAACATTTCTCACATCTGATAAATAATGTCGGATCTAATCTAGTGAAAAATTGAAGAATGGTATAATTGGATGGTATTTTCTTTAATGGTGATTTTAATCTTGTAGTAGTGGTGGACTTCATCTTGGGTGATCCTGTAGTTTTCAAATTTGAAGTGGAAGATTCCCTTAAATTCGAAGATTTTTGTAAGTTAGATCTTGATAATTTTACTTTTTTGTTACTACTAATCAAATTATCATCATCATCATCATCATCATCATCATCATCAATGTCATTGCTATTGATATTGTTATTTTTATAGTTGGCCAAATTATTGATTCCTGACAATCTATTTATTTTGAAATGTGATAAAATACTAGTTTGTTTCAATCTTTTAATATTTGCATTAATATCTCTCAACCGAGAAGGTGACAATGATGGTAATGATGATTGAACATTTTTGGAAAGCATTTGAGAATTAGAAGATTCATTAGGTGTGGTACTGTTTGAGTTGATTACAGGGCGTTGATTAATTAGTGATTCTTGAGTGATTGAAAGCTTTTGACCAATTAAAGAGTCTGATTCCATTTCATCATTAAAATTACTTTCAATATTATCATCAATATCAATAGCAATAACACCATTATTATTATTATTATTATTATTATTATTATTATTATTATTATTATTATTATTATTATTATTATTATTATTATTATTCTTATTCTTATTATTACTACTGTTCCTTCCAGAAAAAACATTCTTATTTGGCAAATTTTTTGTTATAAATTTAGAAATATCCATTGTTCCAATAGATTGATCTTTGATTAAACCCGCAACTGAAGCTGACAATCCTGAACATGGAAACAAATTATCTGAATTTCCAAAAAGATCATATAGTTTTTTAGAAATCATGTCAGGTGAATTGACTTCTGATCGAATAGGAAATGGACAAGATTTAGAATGCGGTGTTGGATCATTAATACATTTATAATGTATCTAAATATATATATATATATTAAACTAAATATTTAATACAATAAATAAATAATGGATTATTAATCAAGAATTTTTTTTATATTTACTGCAAGGGTTTTTGGCCATCTATTATTTATTTCATAATCATCTAAAAGTCTTTTATATAATTCAGAGCTTAAAATTTTACACCAATGTTCAATCTGTGAGAAATTTTTTAATGGTGGTTTAAATGATTTGGCTGCCATCATTGATTTTGAAATATTCCTTTGGACAACTAATAAAATAAAGATACATCAATATATATATATATATTTTTTAAATATGAACAAAGAAATCAAGAATAAACGTTAACCTTCTTCACCATCAACACCTCTACATATATTGTAAAGCCAAATACCATTTTCCATCCCAAATTTTGCTTGTAATTCACTTACTGAATAGCACCTACAATTGATTAATCAATCAACCAATTAAACATTATTTCTTTATATTTAAAGAAAAAATACACTTGGAATAAATCATTAACCATAATTCTCCTGCAGTTTCTATTCTCAAAATATTACCAACTTTAGCACCCAATTTACCACCAAGTTTACGAATTTTTTTAAAAGACAAATTTTGCATAAAACCTAATGTTTGATTTGACCGTAGAATAGTCTGTAAAGAAAGAAACCCCCCCCCCCCCCGCCCATTTATAAATAAAAATAGTTTTAAGTACATGAAAATATTTATTTGCAATGCTATTATATCAAGTCATTACCTGCATATTTGGTTTATTTAATGCTGAACATAATTTTGCTAATGTCATATTATGTGCAATTCCTGCAGAAGATGTGTATCCCAATTCATTGAAAATAGTTTCCCTAATTTCTTTTGATATTTCTGCTGCAACATAAAGTTGCATATCATCCCAACCTTTTGATTCGTTAATATTTGAGCATTGATCTAAACTAAAATTTTGTTTATTATTCTCAATATCATTATTTATTTGACTTTCATACAACACTCCTAATCCATTCCAATCTAAAATAGGAGGAGGAGGAGCTTCATTTAAATTTTCAGATAATATAATATTTGGATATCTTTCTATTATTCTTTGATTAACGATATTTGTAACGTCCAGATAAGCTTCATCAACACCAGCACGTTGTACAATATTACAATATCTCATAAATATTTTAAAAATTCTTAAACTTGCATTTCTATATACGTCTAACGAAGCCTTATGTGTACCATAACTTGGATTTGGGTGATATTTAGGTTCTGGATCACCATTCGCATATGTTGCGACATGAACAAGTTTCAATCCTATAAAGGTTTTTTTTAGTAATCAAACCTTTAGTTGATATAAATATGATCAAAAGCATTGATTAAAACAATAATTAATTATTAAAAATTATTTTTTACCAGGATATATTTTAAGTGCGTCTTGAATATTGGATACTTTTTTTATACCCGCTTTACGTGCTGCATAATTAACTGGATAAAATGAATTTTGGATTATATATGCTGTATATATATATAAATCATAATAAAAATATACAATTATTATTATATTAAACCTGCAATTAAAGCAGACCATTGTCGTACAGCTACCGGCAAAGTTGAAGGAATTCCTAGCCTTACTTGTTCTATAATTTTAAAATTTTCAAAATATAAATTAAATACTGTATATTGAGAAAGTCGCGAATTATATTATTATAAAAATTAAAAAAGCATTTTTACTTACCAACCTGACAGTAAAAGCAATCCATATCAATATGAATTATTGTACGTTTTTTGAGGACTGAGTGGATGATGGTTTGCTCCTTTGACATGATTAAGTATATATATAATTTTTTTGATGTAATAATATAATAATAATAATAATAAGAAAAATTTTATTAATAATTGTCGTATTTATCACGTGACTTGTCCAAACAAATCAGACATATTAGTATTAGTAATAAACTATCTTCTATTAATGTCAAATAATTTTGATATCTATATATTAATAATAATAATAATAATAATAACAATAATCATCATCATTCGTTCAACCATAAAATTTGAAAAAACCAAGCCTCGCATGCCAAGTAAAAGTTGTTTCTCATAACAAAATCGACTTGTTTTATGCGTGATTTAATGTTAACTCGGATAATAACTATTGTTCGAACATGGTGCGTTTTTGTTGTTTTTATGTTCACACAAAAAAACTAACAAATAAACATGGCTTGTATGTCGAATAGACTTGCCAATTTGCCGATGATGGACAAATAGTCAAGTTTTAAAATTCGTCGTTATTTATTGTTTTGGGAAAAAATATGTTCATGGGACCTACCTGATAAGTATTAATATATATAATATCAATAAACTTGGTAAATCGGTCATTTATTTATTTATATTATCAAGTGCTTTAAACAATTGATTGGTGCGTCCGACTTATCGAGTTTATAACTTATTTAAGAACAGGAGTTATTTTTCCCTCATTTGGCACGAGGACAATTAATCCTTTGGGGCACAGTTCACTCACTCACTGTCCATATAATAATAATTAAAAATCTACACGGCCTTAACAGTTAATTTTACCATCAAAGAAGGGAATAGTGTTGCTAATCTCTCTAATACAGTCAGAACTCTAACCAAAGTAATCATGTATATTCATTTTTATTAAACATCGTCGTGACGAGTTAGTTCTAACTGTATCCATATGAGATATATTAAAAAAAAAAGCAGATCCTTCTAGAAAGTACCATTTTATTAATATATATACATATGATATGTTGTTATTTTTCTTTGCTTTTCTTTTCTCATGAAATTTGTTGTCATCAATTTTTTCTTTCTTTCCTTTAATTTTGAAATGTTCTCGGGATTATTTTATTATTATTTTGTTGTCATTTTCTTTATTTTCATTTTATTAATATTTTTATGTACTTATTTCTTCAGTTGGAACTCCTTTTAGGCTTTTCTTGGAAATCCGCTAAGTTTTTACATTGTTTTATTGTTGCATTGTTATATTGTTATATCGTTCACATTTTTCATCGCTTCTCTTTATATAAATTTTGTTTTTGTATTTCTTTCGATCCTCTTGACCTAGAGTTGATCCTTCCTTGCTTTTCTCTTGTCAGTCTCTCTTTTCTCTCAGTAAAAGAAGAACTGTAGGCCGATACCCTTTTGAATTCCTTTTAATGCCCATTTCTTTGATCACTGGATGATCCTAACATTAATTTATGAATTTTTAAATCTTCCTTATCTTCTGTTCCAAATTTTTGTTCGATTATCCGTTTTCTTTTTTTATTACTGGTTTCTTGACATTCTTCCAGTTTATCGAAAAGAATTGTCTTTTAGTGGCTGGTGGCCATTATTTGGTAGGTTTTTATAATGTTTCATAATCCCGAGAAACATGAATTTGTAACAAATATATGATACTATGAGTAATAAAGCCAATTTTGAAATGTATTTAATATTTATTGAATTCGTATTTATTGTATGACAATTATTACTGTTATTGTTGTTATTGTTATTATTATTATAACCATTATTATGTGGGAGAGCGAAATAATTGATAAATTGAATGGATCAGGTTAAATAAGCCTTTACCAGCCAGTGAACGGTTTTTAGGTTTTATTTTATCAAGTCGAAAATTTGTTCTCAAGCCAAGGCTCGCTTTTCTTTGCGATAGTGTGTAACAAGCAATTTTCTCGTACGTATTCATTATTTTTTTGATGCGCGTTTTGTTCTCGCTATCAGGTAGGTCCGACGTATTACTGGCAGAAAAAAAAATTTTTTTTTCTTTAATTCAAATATATTAAACGATAAACTTTATTGTATCACATGATTATAATATAAAGTTACAAAAAATAAGTTTGTTTATTTCTGTCAGTGATTACACAGGACCTGCCTGATAAATAAAATTTATTGGATAATCGCGGATATCTTGTAAGAAAAAACCGGTATCTGGATGGGTATACAGTCTGTTCACCCAATTTGATATTTGGATAATCGTGTAATAGATGGATATAACCTCTACATGAGATAGTCGCATACTTGGCAATTACAAATACCTTATATTTATACATACCACCATAAACAACTAGATAATCACCTTGATTTCTGGGTGACATTATCATATTAATATTGTTGTTGTTGTTGCGTGCCCGTTCACTCTCTTTATTTCTTAAAGATTTCACTTTTTCTTTAAGGAGAATCATTTTTGTTGAAATCTTGGATAAAAATTTGATGTGAAACTGCAAATTCCTTTTTATACCAAAAAGACATTAAATCATTTTAAAAATAATCAGCAATTAACCCTGAAATCGACATTGAATGTTGCATCGGATTGATTCCGTTGATTTCTTACGTTAAAAAAAAATAATCATAATAAATAAATATTTTTGCTAATCAAAAGATCTTCCTGAATTTTATTATAAATAAAAAAAAAAGGGCACAAATTCCTTTTAATCGAACAACATTATTATTAACATGATTTAATTCTCAAGAAAGTATTATATTAATAATATTATTAATACATTAAAATTATCATAAAATTACATTACACGTAATAAATAATAACAACTAATTATTTAAATTGGTTATACACCTTTGATTTGGGCTCTGCCGGTTTCTGTGCCTTTAAGTTTTACAACGAAAAAAAGGCCTACTAGGCTATTGGTTTGGAGTTTTGGATCAAATTGGATTACAGCGGTTCCGGGAGGATAAAAAAACAACATACTTCTAATTATTTTAGTAAAATCAAATTTTGTAACACCGTTTTTGTCAACAATGATAAATGTATAATCACTTTGAATTGTACTTGTAAACCCAGTATTAAATTGTCCAGTTATACGTGTAGTGTCTGGTGTAATCTGTGTAAAGTGGAATTCACCAGAACATTTCCCTGTACTACCACCGTTATCAAATGTTGCAAAAGCAACATCGCCTACTTTACGTTTTTCTGAAAGAATTGGTGATGCATTGATAAAAATATTTGAGAAAATCGTAATAATTATAAGAGCAAGTGTTAAGAATTTAAAAGATTTTGACTCCATTTTTTTATATATTATAATTATAATTATAATTTATTGTTGTTGTTGTTGTTATTATTATTATTATTATTATTATTATTATTAAATGTTTGAGAAAATGATGTTTTTATAGTTTTAAAGAAAAGAGGAATTGCACCTTTATTTATATGAAATTTTTTCCCGCAAAAAAACCGTCCACTAAAAAAATGGGGTAATACAATGGCGGCTCCACCAATTTGAATTTTATTTATAATACAAAAAAAATATAAAAATTGTGTAGAAAATAGAGTCTATTTTTTAAAAATACTCATTATATAATCTTCCAAATATTAGCATTAATATTAATATACTTTGTGGGACGGAAATAGAGGTTGGAACCGGTTAATGTTAATCGGTTCCAACCTCTAGACGGAAATCTTTATAACTTTACTAAAAACGGTTCAAATAAAATTTAAACAAAGCTTTGCTTTTTAAAATCATTTTCTAACTGAAGCTAATGTATGTTTAGTTTTTGAGTAATTAGCTTTTAAAATGCAGAATAGGGTTGAATATTACCGAGGTTTTTTTTTGGATTTACCTGACAAACAACGCATCATTTCACGAATATTTCATTCCCAAATATCTATTTTAATGTTAACAAGTTGAACGAAATAGATGATTTGGCTCATGGAAAGGTTAATTGTTGGGGAAAACGGATTCACTGTTAAAATCACGTGATCTATTACAATTTATTATCCGATGGTTTTCCTTTTATTTCATTAAAATATTTGGTAACCAGTTATCAAATAATGGAATAAAAGAAAGCCTGGAACTAATTCATTATAAAAAACATAAGGTCTAACACCTGATTTATTTCTAGTTAATGTCACCAGAATTAGGATTTAACGCTGATTTGTTGCCGAAATACCCTAATTCCGAATCAAATCTTTTAATTTCTATTTTTTACTTGTATATTTTTATATCTATATTTATTGATTCCTATTTCAAGTCTTATATTATTTTTATTCATTTCTTTATTTACATTTTACTATTTTATTTGTATTACGTTTTTATTTTTATTCGTATAACGTCGAAATTAGTTAACTTTATTTAGAAATGAGCAAACTCTGTTATTGCCGAAGCCTTTGGCGTGATTTTAACCTTACTCGCCATGTTTTTTGGTGACTTAAAAAGAGACATGTGCTGTGAACCAATAAAGATTCCAAATATGCCTTGGTACTATTTCTTTTTTGCAATTAATTACTGTCTCTTTTTCATTTTAACTAAAGGTTGTAAGGTTGCAACCTATTTGAATATTTGCACTTGGCCAGTTATATTTAATAATGCCTCATGTTTTTCGCTATATAAATTGATGTGGTGGTGGTGTTATTTTACAGATAAATAATATAATATGATGATATTTATTTTCTTTCTATCAATTTTATATCTTTATAATTAATTAATATTGCCATCATTTTTCCTTGGATTTTTCTATTTTTTTTTTTATTTCTTTCACTTCTGCTCTGTTTTTGTAACTTTCCTTGTTTCTTTGTTTTAAATACCACTCTGATATTCCCTTAATCTCTTTACGGGTCACTTGTTCTTTCATTTTTTTCGATATTTTCTCTTTCTGAACTTCTATTATGCTGTATACAGTAAGTCATCACCATTGTTACAAGTTATCTGCCCCGTATTCTTTTTTTTTCTAGCCTCGTTTTCGCCACTGATGACCAGCTTAGCTCTAAAGATTCCAAAATACATTCCGAGTTGTGCTCGTTGATAATGATTTCTGATTGATAATTCATTATACCAAGGTGTAAGGGTTGTCACAGTTTAGATAACCTCTGAATTGTTGTTTTTGACAGTGGTGCATCTGGATCAAGATACGGAATTTATTAATCCAAATTTGCTTGCTGTTTGTACGAAAATATTCAGCAGTAAATCTTCCTTGGTGATTGGGGTCTTTAAAAAATTAAAAATTTGAAAAGGCAATTCATTAAACATTTTATCTTTTAGATTTGAAAGAAAATTTAATTGATAATATATTATTCTAAAATTTACTGTATTATCCCTTTTGATATTTTAATTGTTATGATTTTTTTCATCAAGTAACTTGGGAAAATTTTTTTTTTCAAAAACATGCATTGATAATAAAACATGGAAATGTCACGATGAATGTATAATAAATACATGTATACGTTAATGCTAATAGTTAGTTTAAACTTTTTTAGCCCTTCACTTGATAGTGAATTTTTATTTTTTATTATCCTTTTTTCGCAAAGTTTTCTTTCGCATATCCTTCAAATTCTTTTTTAATAAAAGGCCATTTGATGCCTTCATATTATTATTATAAAGTACCTCAATTGATGATAAAGATATTTTTTCAGGGTCATTTCTATTTTTCAGTTGCTGCACTTGATATATCGGCAATTTAACAGCTTTGGAAACAATGGTTGTAATAATAGACGATGTAGACAATCTTTGTTCTGGATATTTAGAAAGTGGGTTAACAGTTAATGTAGAAGTTGAAAATGTCAAAAATTTATACAGTGCGGATCATACTAATACTCAAAAGTTAAAATTTTTGAAATATTATGTGATCCACACATTGTATTTTTAAAAACCCATTCAATTCAGCTTTAAAAAGGGAGTCTATTAATCTAAAAATAAATTTGTCTCGAATTTTCTTTTCATAGATTTTTTAAATTTGAAAGTCTCATATCTGCCAATTTGGTTTTTTTGGACCTTTTTTTAAGCCCTATTATCATTATCATTATTATCATTATCATGTGGCTTAACTGGTCAATTGAATGATAATTAAACCTAAAAAAATTTATTTCTCCGCTAAATAAACTATTTTACTATTTAACAACCTGTCAAACCAATGGGCCCACCTCCAAACCAATGGGTTTTTGGCTACATAGTATAAAGTATGTGTAGTGTGTTACTAGTATTATAATAGTGAATAAAAATAACTGACATAAATAATAATATTAAATCAAAGCTTTAAAACGTTTTATGATGACTGAATCAACTTTAATTCAACATATGTGTACTATTTGCAACAAAAAACAATATAAAACATCTTGAGGTCTTATTCGTCATGAAAATTCAATTCATGCATCTTATAACCAACCACCTATTGATATAATTCCTTTGCTTATGCAACACATTGAACAGTTCAAAAATTTATTAGTTAATGAGATTCATAAACGATTTCCACTTCATTATACTAAATCAGGCAAACAGCTTATCAAATTTCCATGTACTGATAGTGAATTTGTAGCAATATTTGGAAAACAGTTAAATCAATTTTCACCAGCAAAATGTATCTATCAATGTATTTTCAAAGGTTATGCAGCAGAAGCTATGTTAGGAGAATTACTTGGTGATAAACAATGGGGAACACGATATTATGAAGCAAATCAAAAAAGCTTCGTTCAATTGTATCTACAAGAAAATGTAGTTTGTGAGAATAATTCAAATCAATCACTTGAATCTTATGACATTTCAAATATCAAAACTGTTACAATAGTACCACCAGAAATGACTGTAGAATGGTTTCAAGAAAATATTAAGGATGCAAAAGGACATGAAACATCAGGTGGACAATTAAGAATTAGATTTTGTTTAGACCAAGAATATTATGGATAAAAAAAAAAATTTATTATGTAATTTTTAATATGCTTATTATTATTAATATGTTTTATAATTTAATTTACAATGCTTGCTTTTATTTTAGTTTGCTATAAATAATTTAATTTGCTATAACTAGTATTGAATAAGATATTTTATTTATTATTCTTCTTCAGGATTTGCTTTATAATGAAGCCTCCTTGGTTGATTTCTCGTAATGTTCATTTTATGCTTCTGAAAATACAAAGATTGATTCTCACAAAAATGAATTTCTAGAATTGCTGAATATCGCATTTAGAGCTCCGAACGAGTCGGGTCAACAGGTCACAGATTAAGAAAATTACAAATGTAGATATATTAATGATGCCATCTGTAAACAGTTGGCCATTCTGTAATATGACAACTTTTCAAGTATGCAGTTGTCAGAAAATCTGTAATATGTAAATGTATCTGTAAT